TTTAGGTCACTAATAATCACAAATTCATTTTGATGATGATAATTCTTCTGATTCACTTGAAATTTTTTTATTCTTTTTCTTTTTTTCAATTAAAGCTTTTTTTACTAGCTTGTAACTCTTTTTTTTTTATTTTTTTAATTGCTTAGCATTTTTTTCTTCTAATAATTCGTTGTTTGATATAACCGTTCACTAAAAAATTAGAACAAAATAAAATTTAATACTCAAAAAAGATTTTAAGTATTATTTTAATTATAAGTATACATTTTATAATGATTATTTTTATATTTACAAAATATTTAATGACTAAAGTACTTTAAACACTTGACAGATTTAATTTTGAGATTGAGAAATTAGTATTATAAATATACGGTCATTAATTGGGTTGTAATAAAATCAGAGGGTCTAATAAATGACCGAATGAATTTTTTACTGGGTAAAGGGCTTCTGACGGATCCAATAGTTGACCGGTCTTAAAATAATATTAAAACTTATAATTTAACTTTATTTTTTCAAAAAAGTTGGAATCTGATCTTTAATTAACATAATAAAACTAAAATATTTTATATTATGCCGATGAATATCACTAAATTAATGATAAAATGCACTGACTCTCCAATTGTACGCTAGTTATTTTTGACCGCTTTATGGCTGGTTGCGTTGTAAACAAACTCAGAATATTTTTTTAAAGCTATAATCACTGCGCAATTAATTGCGTAATTTTTTATTATGATGATTAAATGCCATATTTTTTTATTTTAATACTTTAAGAAAAAAAAACCCTTGTAAAATATTAATTAATTAACTTTTTTATACATCGGTCAACTAATTGGTGACCGGTCAACAACTGGTGCATTTACCCTATTTCTCATAATAAATGTACGGATTTTGTATTTCAAAATTTCGAAAAGCCTGTTCAAGTACTGGTCCCATTTTTATAAGTGTTCAAGTACTGGGTACGTTACCTTAAAAAGAAATGGAAAATGGTAATGATTTTTAGGATTAAAATCTCTCTAAAGTTAGAAATTGGAATTAAAATTTCATTTTTTATCTCAGTATTTACTTCTCATACAATAGAATACAAAAAATAAAATGGAATATAATTAATAGCAATTAATCTCTTGAAAAAATGAGAAGTTAAAAAGATTGAGCTGAAAAGACGAATATTGCAAACGAAATTCTACCGGCGATAGTGATGATGGCGTTAGTGGTTAGTAGTCTTGCTTAGTAATTATACTATAAGGGATTATAAAGGTCGTACAAGTGGTACATGAGAGTTGTTCACTCGAACTTGGCATTCACGCCATTTTCAAGACCCTCTATAATCCATCGCACATACGTATATATAGAAATATACATGGGTACTTAGTTTTAATTTTTTTTGTTCCTGGGGAATACACAATAAAACGGTAAGAGTCGGTATTTATTGTCATTAAATCATTCAACTTTTTTTTTTAATGTCGCAATATAATAGTGAAGTATTTTAATATCTCATCAAATTGTTGCAGAAAAAGCTTGTTCAAAATTATCTGAAAAATTGTTAAAAAATTTGGCTGATTATTTTCATCAGAAGGATTTAAGCGTATTAAGTAAGTGAATACAATCATATACGCTTCAACCATTTGCGGTGATTGCAGGACCAAAAACTCACAAGATTTCACAACATTTGTTTATCTATTCAAGGATTATAGACAATATCCTCTTCATGCATTGTAACCTCCTGAAGTCGCGCAAGTCTGGCAGTTCTTCCACAGAGCTTTGCGGAACATACCCTTCGGTTTTCAGAAAAATACGAGCAACGAAAGCGTAAAGACTCTTATTAAACAATTTAAGCTTAAATACTTCTTAAATTGTCCTAGCATTGATAATTGTTAATATATATTTTTTTACAATTGTAAATTGATTATATTTACAATTGTTATTGGCGATCTAGTCCACTGCACAATTTTTCTCTAATTATTTATAATTTTTTAGCCTGTATTCCATCTAGGCATACACAATTATTTCATTCTTATTTTTATATTTGATTTTCTTCGATTCGCAACAACAAATGTTGTCATGGATACTTTGTATGTTATACTGAAATTTAATGAGCTTCCTGGGTCACTGAGCAATTAACTCTTGAAGAGAGCAGACGTTAAAATTCAAGCGAAATTGCGCAACTTGTAAAATATTTGAGTTCGAGTACTACAGTCGGATAAGTATTACATAAGTGAGAAAGACTCATTCAATAAAAAGCGATTTTATCTCGTCGAAATCAATTATGAGGCAAAAAATTATTTTGTGTTGTTTAATTGTTACAAGTGTGAGAGGAGATAAAATAGACATTTACGATACGAAAATAGACTCTACAGAACGTCTTAAGAGCGATGCGATAAGTCTCAATATTTATATGATTCTTGTACAATAATCAATTTTTACAATAAGGTAAAAGACTCAGTTATTTTCACTGGCCTAGTTGTTTGACACTTGCAATTTTATTCTAATTAAAAAAATAAAATGTTCTCAAAAAACCAATTATCTTAAAATTTATAATTCAAATATAATGTTTATTAAATTATCAGAGTTGATTTATTTTTTTTAATTAAAATAAAATTGCAAGTGTCAATAACTAGGTCTTTTACCTTAGTAATGTTATTAGTAAATTAGTAAAATAATGCTATTAGCAAGAAATTGCAATTTTTTGACAACAATAAGAATTAAAAAGAAGAAAAGAAAGGCTTAATATACTACTTTCCATTTTTATTAATTTTAGTGTGATAAATTGTTTATAAATGAAGAATTATAAAAAGTATAGTTTATTCTCATAATTATCTATCCTAAAGATTCGTGTCAACCAAGCGAGGTTAAGTCGGCCATATTGATTGTAGTATTTTAATAATAATGAGAATACCAAGTTTTTTTATATCCAGTAAAATTATTCCTATGGATAGTAAACTTTGGTATTCTTATTTTAGGAATACTTTTTTTTTAACCACAGGGAAAAGTTTTCTAGGAGGAAAAAAACTTTTTTTTCAGTGCACAGAAAAAAAGGTTCACTTGAGCCAAGAAAATATTTTTCTTCTTAATTATTTTCTTGGGCGAAAAAAAAATTTTTTTTTGAGACAAGAAATTTCATTTATTCCAACAAAATTAATTCTCTTGCTTTAAGAAATACGTTTTTTGATCCAAGAAAATTTATTCAAGTCAAAAAAATCTTGTTGTTTTAAGAAAATTCAGCCTCGAAGCTCCAAAAAATTTAGTTCTTGATAGAAGTAAATTTTCTTGTCTTGAAAAAATTTCTCTCTTGCTCCAAAAAATTAAATATAAAGATAGAAGTAAATTTTCATTAATATTTTTATTGATTAACATGTCAAATAGGAAGATCAAATAAAATTTCATCATTTCTTTTCATTCAATATGTATAATTGCACGCTAAAATAATATAAAATGGGTATCAAATATTCAAGAGAAAAATTTTCTCAAGGTGAGAAAATTTTTTTCTCAGCTGAAGTAGGTGGCGCTGCTT